AAATTACAAAACTATATCATTACCGCAAATACAGGATGATTTTCTCATTCGAAAATACAAGATTTATCAGAATTATGGTAATATTGCATTTTTGCCGTATTTCAGTTTATACTTGTGCTAAATTATTAAATATTGGTTAATTTAACTCAGATGTTAAATTCCGTGTGCACACACATATATATATATATATATATATATATATATATATATATATATATATATATTACAGAATTGAATTTAAATTTAGAGATTTCCTCATATTATACTGGAATACGAATATATTTACATAATTTGTTCTTGTGGCAAAGTGTTTTACTGATTTCTCCTGTGTTATCTATAGTAAATTTAAGAGTAAATTTCAATTTAACCGAAAATATTTGTTAATATTATTTAATCTACAATATAACGGTAGAAATAGAGATACTTATATAATCATTTTGATTTTAGTTTTACGTTCTTTTTATCTACTTTATATGTTTTAAGTTTTGTTTTTTATTTCTTTTCTTTTTTCATTGTTTTTTTTTTTTTTGTTTTATATTTTTATAGATTTACTTACTTTCGTTTAAATTTTTAATTGCATAAAAATCAACGAAAAATAAATACAAAAGCAAAACAATTTTTATATGACTGAATTGTTTGTTAACTTACATTGCAATTATTAAGTCAATAGTGTGCCACAAAATTAAGTATATATTGTATATATACATGAGCCACATAATTGTAGGAATAACGTAATGTATAACACACAGCACTTTATAATAACAACAACAGTATAAAAATAATAATAATACTGCATTATAATTTTTCTGGTTTCTTTAAATTGCAAACCCTGACATTCATGATATACTTTGTAATCATGAATGAAAATAAAACGTTTGAAGTAGAAATTGTTGAAATGTGTATCAGGGTTGTGTTTAAAATGTATTTGATGTAAATCTATTGTACTTCAAATATTTGAATAAAATATTAATTCTCTTTATGCTTCAAAACTCAGCAATTTCATAATATAAAATGATCATAAACTAAAATAAATATGGAATCAAGGGTTAATTGAATGCAAAAATTTATGAATTTAATTTTCATATTAAAATGTGAGTGGCGTATTAGCATACTCGTATTTAAAATGTTAGCAATACGTGCTATCTAGTTAAGCGAAAATGTTGCAGACGATTTTGAAAATGCCTTTTAAATGCTTCTTTTCAATTTTAAGGGCGTTAATAAGCTTTTATTTGATATACCTAGAAAAATTGTAAATTTGGCTCTTAGTAGAGTTTCACTTTGTTCCATCCGAAATCCCTGAATAATACGTTTCATTATAATTATACCATTTTTTGTAATTGAATATTTCTTAGTTAAACAAAAACCTGATAATATAGAGAGATGTTGGAATTCAGTATAGTACTGTTTTAAATATACAATCTTCAGCTTATTGGGTTGTGATTGCTGCCTGCTAGATTGTATAACAATACAGTACTATTGCATTTTTAAATCAATGTTTTATTCTTTTAAATTAGTTGTTGCTGTTGTCAGAATTATGATAAAGTATAAAGAAAAAAGGAAATTAATATGTTGCACGTTGATTTAAAAATTGTTAAAGAAAAAATCGTATTCTTATAAAATTCAGCGATTAGTTTTTATATGGGCTTAATTTTGCATTTTAGAGTGGATACAATTTCATTGCAATATTTCAAAAATATACATAGTTGTATATTGTAAATGTCAGATGACCTATATGTTTACACTATAATGTATTATAATACTGCTAAAAATGTGGTATTAATGTCAGCTCACAAGTTGTAATTGCCAGTTTTACAATTTTTGTAATTTTTGAAGCTCCCCAAATGTAGGCTGTCATGATAAATTGTTGGAAGGACAATGATTTCTTGTACATATACCTAATACGTCTCTTATTATGTATATTTTATATGTTTTTCTTTTTTATTTATTTTTTTGTTTGTTTTTGTTTTCTTGTTATCAAATACAGAAAATTTTCCTGTTTTTTTTTGTGATTTTGTAGTACTTATAAAAATTGCGAAAATGTATTTCATCCAAAAACACTACTATTCTATTCAAAAACACTATCACCTACACACGCACACAAATATTGTATTTATAATTATGCATAAAAATTTAATTATAGTGTGTTATTTTAGTTGTTTTTTTTTCTTTTTTCTGTTTCTTTTTGTTTTCTTTATATTAATTAGTCTTTTGTTTTTTTTTTATCACTTTTATTTTTTGATTTTCAAGTAAAATGAAAAAAAAAAAACATCCGTGACTTCAAATTTTCCGAAATGATTGTATTGCTACACCAATTTAGCAAAATAAAACTTACAAACTGAATTGTGTGTATTAATGTTCAGTATTAGTGCAATTTTGAAGTCAAGGTGTACATAATATGTAATATGATACAAAATATTGCAAAAAACTGCTAAAACGGAAACTGTTGTATATATTATTTATATGGGATGAAAAACTTGTAAAAAGTATTTAAAATTTTATTTATTTAAAATCGGAATTTCTAGTTTTTTCTGAATTATAATACATAATATGTTTAGTTAAAACTATGTATTTAAAACAAAAAGATAATTAATATTTGTAAACCTAGTTAGTAAAAAGAGTCAAAAAATGTTAGAAATTCTAATAAAATTATTAAGAATTAAAAAAAAAAATCTAGGATACTTATAAAAACACGAAAACATTATTATTGTCACTTTTTTGTTTTCCTTGTTCCATATGGAATAACGGGCGCAATAGGAATTGGAGTTCATTAAATTTTAGCGCAACGTCACCTATGTGTATCCTTTTAATACCATTACACTTAATATATCATAATAACAATTTTATAAAATAGATTATATGTAACTTTAAAACTGCCGAAATATTGTATTAATACAACAATTCAGAAATTACATTCTATAAACTGAATTGTAAGTACAATAATATTGTATTAGTGCAGTTTTGAAGTTTATAGTTCTGCATATATTAATTTTATACATGTAAATAAGTATTATTTGACATTCGATAGTATAGTGTTGTACATAAAGATCATTAAAAGTCTAGTAAAATACTTGTTGTTGTAACGCGATTCAGCAATTTATCACTGAATAAGCAGAATTGTCTCTGGTAATGTAAAAAAAGAATAGTAATTCCCATTTCAAGACCAATTATTTTAAAAGTATGTTATTAAAAAAAAAAATAGAATTTTAACTAATAATCAGTTTGTGAATCAAAATTTAATTAAAGTGTGTTATAAGAGATTAATAAATAGATGAACGGTATATTAGTATACACTATTGTTTTAGCATACTTAATGCTTTTTATTATTGTTATTTACAAAGAGTATAAAATCGCATTTTGAAACTTGTTTTGCATACTATGTCCTTTTACATACTATGTCTTCTGACAAATTAGAAAATATTTTATTAAATTTCCCGTAAAGAGATCATCAAATGTTATTAATTTGATCATACAATCATAGTATATTGCTTACTATGATCCTATATATGTAGAAAGTAACTGAAAAGATTCTAGCTTGTGACATCGAAAAGTTACTGTATGTAATTGCATTACATACAGTAATGTTGTATTTACTATGCGTACACAATTTTATTAAAAATTTTAATTATACCTACTGAATCGTGTAATTTGTAGTGAATGGATATATCTTAGCAAAAATAAAATATTTGAGTACAGTTGGAATTCATTTACCTATGGAAAAATATTCGATGCTAACGTTCTTTTGTTTTTTTACTGCATTCTTGATTTTTAAAACACAATTAAACGCATCACACATCACACAATGCAATTCATTTCATGCGCAAAAATTATATATTTATACATACATATACGTACAAGTATATGAATAAGCACATAAATACAACACATAAATATCCTGACTTAAAAAATTGAATTTTGTGTGTGTATAAATGCAAAATGCTATAGAAATTTTAAAGTCAGAGATTTTTTTTTTTTTTTTGATGTGATAATTTTGATTAATATATAAGCAAAGTACTTACCACAATAAAAATTTTTATTGTTTTAGTTTTTTTTTCTTAAAACCACCAACCACCAACCCCTATACTTTCTTGAAATTATATCTTTAGTATTGGGTAGTGTTGCCAATATTATATAAACGCTCTTCATTCCTCTACAATAGTTTTTTTTTTTTCACTACAATTCGAGTTCTCTAATTATATACATATCAAGAAACCTTAGAAAATTTTTTTGTATCTTGCAATAAAGTGATTGTATATGTTGTTACTCACTCTCTCTGTTAGGACAGTTTTTATAATTACATACTCTGTATATTATGTTCTATAAATTAAATAAAATAAATTAAATATATATTTATATATATATACATATATACATATATATTTATATTTTTTTTAAATATTATTTTCCTTTCTATTTTCATTCCATTCACAATTAAAAAAAATTGAAAAAACTGAAAAAATTGAAAAAAAAATCGATCAATTGAATTTGAACATTAAAAACAATCAATAAATACCGATTTGAAATCCTGTGTGTGTGTTCATCTAAAATCGAAAAATCAAAAAAAATCACATATTAAAATAAAAAATCTTTTTATCTACATACCAAATATATAATTGCATTACATACATACATATATTTTATATGTACATAACCATATATATACATATATATATATATATAAAATCAAATTAATTAACTTTAATAATGAATTGAATTTGTATTCGAAAAATCATACCAAACTCTGACACGGACGCGTCATACTGCACATATGACATTTTGAATATTACGTCATAATATGTATGTCATTTAATATTATTGGTTCAATATAATTCGACATGTATAAAATTTTCTATGAACGGAAAAACTATAAAAAAAAAAAATAAACAAACAAACAAAAATATTTAATTCAATTCATTATTTTAATTATATATATATATATATATATATATATATATACTTATGTGCATATGTGTATATATATGTACAATATAACATATATACAGTATGTGGTAAAATGTGTCATTGTTGCCATTAAAACTATTGGTAATATTATGTTGGTTACTTACCTTCTTATATTTATGTTTGCCGTAATTGGGGTTCAACTTTTCAAGGTAAATTTTTTGTGTGTTTTATGAAACATACATATTTTTTTTTATAATTAAGTTCGTGTTTAAGACTTGTTTAATTTTTTTTATTATTATTAATTAATTATTATATATATCATAAAAATCTGCTGTAAGAAAAAAAAATGAAAATTATTAAGAAGAAATAAATTTTAAATCGGAAATGTCATTAAATGACGAGTACATTTTATATATAGAAATTAATTAAGGGTTAATTGATATTTTTTTTATTTATATTTTTTCTACAAGTCTATTTAGGATTTTATATACAAATATATTTGGATTTATGAAATATGCAATTAATGTTTCGGAGAAATGAAGTAGAATATCTATCCTTCTGTATAGAAAGAAAAAAAAAACTATACCGTTGCCTAATGTTTCAGAGAGAAAAAAGTGCAAAGTGTAAAAGATACTTAAAATTTATCCCGAACAAACTTTCAGAATAAAATTGTATAAAACAATTACCTTAAATTGCCCTCTCTTAAAATCTCAATCGGTTAAATCAAATCGTTTTTCAACTAATTTTCATACAGAATTTTTCTTTTTTTTTAAACAAAGTGGCAACTCGGATAAATTTCAAGTTTTAAAATGTAGACCTTGTAAAGCTTTTGATAAGTACATGTATGCTATGTAGACTTTTTTTGGTTTAGGTAATTTGATTTACTCCATTTATTTGATTCAAGTTTATTCAATATTTTTAAATATCTATCTACATTGTTTTATGTATACAATCGTAAATTTTTTGAGGGATTCGGATTACGGGCAGGCGAAACGATCCCTCCCTCTCTAAATTTTTTTGCAGCTTTTCTTCTTTTTTTCTTCACTCCGTGTATATAATAATTGTTTTATAACAATATTAAAACTATAAAAATTTTTAATAATTTCTATATAAATTAACTTTGATATTTCCGATTATAATAAACAAAAATAATAAAATAAATAAAATTTAAATATCAAATTAAATTTTTTTTTCTGTTATTTTTTTCTTAGATAACGATCTTACAATATATATGCATATATAAATATTAATATATATATAATATATATTTAAAAATATATATTTATATATATATTTATATATATATATATACGTATATTTTAATTATTAATATTATAAATCGACGTATTTATTTTAATTGCCTTGTTTCGTTATATATACCATTATATAATAATAATTTTGTCACGTGCAATTTATATAATCAAATAATTTGAATGTTTTTTCTTAGTTCTAATACTCTTATACATAAATATAATTTTCTGCTAAGTAGCTAAGTATTGTGACTTAAAAAAACAGTCTTTAAGTATACAATACATATATATATATATATATATATATATATTATGTACATATTGTATGCTTATTATATATATCGTCGGCTGAGAAATAAAACAGCGTATAAAAAAAGGTATAGTTTTGAGTAAATCGCGTTTGAAGTTTTTTGCAAAATGAAAATGAAGTTTCGAATCTAAAATCTTCCGGTCGTCATCTTTGACTATCCTGAAAAGTTATGTTAAACATTTTTGGGGGAATAAATAGTTTATTTGCATAAATTTGATTAAATAAATTTTTGTAGATCTTAGAAAATTAGAGGTTTGAAATTTCTTGGTACTTCTTACACTATTTTATTTTTGGTAGAAATTGTATGAAGAAAGTTATACACTGTTTCATTTTAATTTTTTTGTATGGTATACACCATTTCATTTTTATTTATACGTTATTTTATTTTGTAAAAAATTAGTATAATTTGAGAAACAAAATTAACATTACATACTTTAACTCAACGTATGAAAATATAAACAGGTATTTTTATCGATATTAATGTAACATGAAAAGTCGTAAACAAAAATAAATAATATTAACATAAAAGATAATTCAAATGTACATTATTTCTACTTAAAATTTTGAAACTTAGTTTTAAAAATTAATTATAGCTCTTCAATCTCGTCTTCTGAATAGCTTGGTTCGTTTAATTTAGATAAATTATTTTTAGATGAGGCTTTTTCTGCCAAGTTTTGATAAAATGTTACTGAATGTTTCTAACTAAGATTGATTGATCATGTTTTCATATTGCGCACATGAAACGAGTAACTAAATTTTGTATTAAAGATTATTTTATAAGTATGCTAGCCAACTTTTATGTGTATTTTATAATACTTAAGTTAAGTTTTTTTGGAAACGGTTTTACCATAAAATGTATAACAAGGCGTAAAATTTTTTCGAGACATTCGCGGTCGTTTTCTTGTATATACTTTGTGTGTGAAAGTATGTTTTAGAAATAATCTTTTCTTTCCATAATCACCCAGCTTTCAATACGAATTATTACTATTAATTCTTGCATCTTAAGGAAATTTTTCAACGCAATTGTGTTGGCAGTTGCAAATTCCGTTGTAACGTTCTTTTGCTTTGAATTCTTTCTTTTTTAATTTTTTTTATTGCTTTTTTACATTTTCACTTAGATTAGTACTTTCTAAAATTTTTTCGAGTAGTGTTTCCGGTGATGTAGGTGTAATGGTTTCATTATCAAACGTTTAGTCTATAAAACATTCTGTAAGTTTTTCTGGTTCCGCTTCACCCGTTTCAGATGCTGAACTCTTGCTAGGTTCATAATTGTCATCAGAACCAGAAGAAAAGTCTGTAATAGAATTTTCTGGTGACTTTTCGAAAAATGTTACCACTTCTTCATTAAAATTTCACATCATTAAAATTTTTATTCCTTTTCTTTTTGAGTAACACAACAAAATTATTTTAATTGTTGTAAGTATAAAATTTTGCCTTAAATTATTAATTATTTGCTTCACTTATTAAAAAAGTTATAACTTTAAGTTCTGTACTGATCAACAAAATCCAACAGAACACTTATTTGTTAAAAATATTTGTCTTATACATGAAGATGCATATAGAATTAAACAAATGTAAAAGTATAATGTACATATGTACGTTTGTTTTGTACGCTGTTTTATTGTATTGTTTGCCAGGGAAGACGATTCAAAATTCAAAATTAAAGTAGTGTATAAGACAATATGAAACAGTGTATCAAATTCTTACACCGTTTTACTTTTCAGTTTATTGCAAAAATTTTTTTATTAAAATTTAAAAAGCGTGTAAAAGTAACATACACTTTTTTATTTGGTATTGAAATTAACAACTGAATGATAAATTTTCTACCAAAATAGTGTAAGAATTCATTACGTTATTTTAAATTTTGTAAAAAGTTACGGTTTGGCAATAAAACAAAGTAAACGCATTTTACGCTATTTTGTTATTAATTAGTTTCTAAAAATGCTTTATACAATATTTTCGTTTTTATTTAAAAAGTATGTTAGAATGAAAAGATAGAGAAATATAAAGTAACTCAACTTATAGAATCGACTATGGAGAATCCAATGGTGATAAAATCGGATAACGACGTATAAATGTTATACGCTGTTTTCTTTCTCAGCCGACGATATAATATATATATATATATATATATATATATATATGTATTATGTACATATTGTATACTTATTATATATATATAATATATATATATATATATATATATATATATATTTATATATTATGTACATATTGTATACTTATTATATATATATATGTATATGTATATATATACATGTATATATATATATATATATATGTATTTATATATATATGTATTGCAACGTTTATGTTTACTGTTTGTAATTTTGAATAGTTCATTTTTCATATATACGTACATTTATAATCAAAAATAAAACTAATATTTGCAAAAACTTTCAAAATACCAATAATTTCTCTATTGCTGCTGCTGTAATACAATTTATTGTATACTTCTTTTAATAGTATAACAGTTTTAAGTTTTATACTCCTACTTCATTTGTTTTCTTTGAACAGTATAAAACTTTTAAAGTTTTATATATTTCATGTTATTAATATGTATATATATAACAGAATTTCCATTCAAATAATGGCGACATATTATATTCAATTTACAAAATATAGATATGCCCATTTAGGAATATAGGATATAATTTCTCTTCTGGGGATTGAAAAGTAAACTTTTAAAAATAAATGAACTATTCAAAAAATATATACATAACTGTTATACTTATATATGTATATGTATAAAAAAAAAATGGAAAGTAAAAAATAAAATTCAATTTTATTAATTGCACGATTTTTTTTTTCATTATCTTTCTTTTATTATATAATATTATGTATGTTAAAAAATTTAAAATTGGAATGATGGAATGGCTTTAAAAAAATTCAATAAAAAATAGAAATGTTAATAATTATTTTATTTTTTTTGATTAATTAAATTTGAACTGAAATGCAGAAGGAAATTAACCGTTGAAAAAATGAAATGCTGTAATTTTGGACACTTAAGGATAAATGTATTATTTTAAAAGAAAATTTTTATCACTATCTCTCATATCTATTCTTGAAAAAAAAAATTAACCATTAAACACTCAACTCTAGTTATTCATTAAGGACTGCATCTTGTTCTGTCGAAGCTACAATACAAATGCATTTTAAATCCCTAAGAATCCCGTGATAAATTTCTGACAGAAAAGTAGTAGTAAAAACAAAATAATCGTTGCTAAATAAAAGTGCAATGATTTATATTATCATCAGTATGCTTGATTTTTTTTTTTTCGAATTTTTGTTCTTATCCAAAGAGATTTGCGATGACAAAGCGGTCGTCTATTATGGCATTAAGATAAATGACGCAGAATAAATAATATAATAATTGTTGCTAAATTGAAATCTGCTATAATTAATGTCATCGAGCCCTTCTTCGATAACCCTTCGCAGCTGCTTATCAATAATCAAATCGAAGATTATATAGAGACACAAAAATTTATATAGAGCTCTATAGAAATATCTTTTCTATTAAACAGAAATGAAATTAAGTTGATAAATAAATAACCACAGTTTAATTGTATTATAATTGAATTCTCATTTTTAAAGAAGGTTTATTAAATTTATCTCGGACAAACAAACACGAACAAAGGATACAAATTGGTGTTAACTATTATTTTTTTTCTTTTATATTATTTATGTAACTGTATATATGTATGTATTTTTCTATTAAGAGCATATTGCACGATGAAATAGTTTTATTTTGAGATTATAAAATTTATTTTTGTGCTTATATACGTATGTATGTACATACATATATATATATAAATATTGGGTAGGTGGCAAATAATTTCAGGGATGATTCTTTTACCCTAAAATTATTTGCCAACTTATGCGAAATACCCTGTATACTATAAATATACATATACATTTGTAAATATTTTATATATACCCATATATACTCACATATATATATGTATGTACATATAATTTAATCTATAATTAAGTCAAAATTTTTTTTAATGAAAAATTAATGCAAATTTTGCATATTTTCCGTTCCAAAAAGACTTAGTTCCGCATTATTCATATTATACTTCATGTTTCAAGCCAAATCAGATACTTTTACGCGCATAAGTATATACTTATCTTTTACCAGATAAGTATACGCGCAATAAAATTTATATACTCTTGCTCTATATACAATTAAATCGAATATGTGTAAATGGATTGGTGACAGGAATATGTTGGAAGGGTTGAAGGGGATAAAGGAAATTGTTGGGAATGGTTATAGGCTTGAATTTTTGCTAAAATAAAAAGTACCTAAAGTTTTACGCGCAATATAAAACAAGTAATGCAAATTCTGTATATCAATTATATATATACCTATATTCATCGATATAATCTATATGTGATATATATGTACATAAATAGAATTAATTTAACTAGAATTAATTTTTTCTGCATTGTTTACATCATATTATTATTAAACATTGCCAATACCTTAAATCTTACAAATCTTCAATATGAAAATCATATGTGTAATTATTTAATGCTTTGAAATATATGTATATATATAAATATTTTTGTTTTGAAAATAACATATATGCTGTTATACATGTTTAAAAAATGGGGGAAATCTTATACACTCCCAAGAAAATAGGGAAATTTACACACAATCACCGGTTATTCTGAATTTACATTCAATTTTTTCAATAAAATTATTGGCGGGTTTACGTCTGCCTGTCTTAATTACTGCCTGGTTTTATATTACATAAGAAACTGATACTATATAGGTATAAGTGGGATACGGCTCCACCACCACCTTATCTAAGTCAAATTAGCTAGTTTTGTGTACAAGTAATCTATAATTTTAATTTAAATTCCCTTATAATAATATTTTAGGCTTTAAAATTTTTTGATCATATATAGCGCATGTTGTTTCTAAAAATTTGTGCATGTAAGTATGTGCAAATTAATTAATGTATAAATGTATATATATATTATTTTTCAATAAAATAATAAGCCCATATGTTCGTTTAGCTATAAATGTCATTTGCAAATATTTATAGTTTTAAAATGCATACTTATTCTTTATATGCAATTAATCTTATTATAATCCGTAGCTGACTACTTTTGCAAATGACATTTTCTGACTACGGCGGGCTATATTTAATGAACTTATTTTAAATTTGTGTATAAAAATTCTTGTACACATGATTTTTTTAATGAATAAATTTTTCTGTGTGTGGCGCACGATTTTCTTAATTTTAGATTTTTTTTTTTTTTTATAAATAATTAAGAAAAATTTTGCTTGTGATTAAATGTGTATATGTGTGCAAAAGTATGTTTTTTAAAATTTGCATCATCCCTTTAATTTTTTTAATAAAAAATTATAGCAAATTTTAATAAAAAACAAAATATGTTTTTAATTTTTTTTGTTTTTTTCTACCATTTTCAATAATCCATTCATATTAAATGGATGTGTGCAATAATCATATTTAAAATTATTTTGTTCTTAAATTTTTACTGTAACGTACAATTACAATAAATATACAATAGAAATTGACATATTAAAACTGCGTTGCGAGAATGACAAGAGCGACAATATTGTTAAATTCTTAATTTCAAAATCGGTAACAAAAAAATATTGTATAAAAGCGCACAGTTCAGTAAAAAACGAAAGTATACTGAATTGTGTATCAATAACGTAATTATCGCAATATTGTAATATTATTATATTAAAATTTTTGTTTGCATAAAATGTATTTTATATTTTAAAGTATAAATAATTGGACGGCTTATTTTGAAATTGAACTTATGTCCCATTTTTTTATTTCAGAAGTCTTTTTTATTTCCAAAATCGCAATGATAATGTCCAATTATCGGAAATATTCTATATAAAGCAAATAGCCAGTTTAAATAACAATTTTTGGTTATTTTAAACCCAAACGGGAGTATAATATTTCATTTTTAATTGCAATGAGCTTAAGTCACTTTCAAAATAAATTATTCAATTGTAGTGTAACAATTTTCGTTTACACACCATGACTTCAATAGTGCTTTATAAAAAGTTTAAGTACGGTATTAATACGATTGTAGTACCTTCTCAGAGCTTTGAATACCTTTACATTGTGAAAAAAACTGCTAAAGCTTTTGATACATTTTGTAATACAACTTGTACAATATTTATACATACTTTGAGGCTCGTTTGAAAAATTCAATTTAAAGTTCGGTGCAAATGCTTATTTTCAACAAACGTTACCATATCATTAAAAACTTAGGATTTTTATATGCTGCAGTTTAGGAAAAAAACTTAATAACTAGCATTTTATTGCTGAAAATATATGCTAGTTTATTCAATTGGTTATTCCTGGCAACATTTATATGACATGTATAAGAAAAGCGTGCCCGATTTTTTCGATGCCCAATTTACTTTTATTTTAGGTATCCACTACGTATAGAACGCATTTAGGAAAAGTGCACAATGTCAAGAGCTTTTACTAAACTTTTTGGAAAGTGATACTTTGCAAATTTTATAAAGTACTTGAATCTTTTTTTACAGCATTATTGAAGTCACGGTATTATTAAGAGCAAAATTTTATATTGTGCGTGATGCTTGTGCATTTTTGACGCCTTATATATAGCTACAAATGTATGCACATTACTAATTAGTTATTATTTTTATTGTTATTGTTATTATAATAATTTGCTTTTGATGTGTTTGTATACCCTTTCAGTTAATTTTATTTGCTTTATTTAAGTGCTGCTTTTTTCGCGCCTCCCCCTCCCAAATTCTTAAATTCAATCATTTTATTATTTACTTATCTGAAATAAATTAGAATGAAAATTTGATTTTAAATATTTTTATTTAAATTTTTTGTTTTATTTTTTTTTTGTTTTTGATTTTTTGTTTTAATTTTGAGTGGGTTCAAATTTATAATTAAATATTAATTAAATTAATAAAGAAACATAAGGCAATGCGTCTATACCAAAATGCAGATCTAACGTCAATTTAACTTATTCAACAAGAAATTTTTTAATTACTGAGTGTGAGTCAATTTGACGTTAGACGCTCATTTTATAGATAAAAAGTTTTTTTTTATTTTAATTTTTTTTTTATTTAAAAAAAATACTACTAAAAAAAACTGAAAAATTAATAAAAAAAACCTTAATAATTAATTTTATGTTTTTCTTCTTTTTATTCTGGAAAAAAAAAAAACAAAAATATAAACAAAATCCAAAAATTTAGGGAAAATTTTTCAAATGTACGGATGAATCAAAAGTTATTGCAGACGAATGCCAGTAAGTAGAAAAAAAAAATACTTAAAAAAATTGAATCTTTAAAGAGCAAATTGTAGGAAAATTCAGCCCTGTTAAATGTACTTTCCAAATATGCGTGCATTTTCTTATGCATTTTTAGAAAATTGAGCCACATACATATGTATATGTTAATGTATATTGACTATTCTCGAATCACAATATAACTTACAGAAATTGTGAAATCACTGTATATTCTTTTAATACAATTACTTACAATAAGTATAAGAGAATATAGAGTTTAAAATTCAAATGAGAAATTTTGATTTGATCCTTGCGTATTTATTTAATTTAAAAAAAAATATTGTGTATATAAATCTCTACATGTTAATTTGTTTAAAATAAGTTTGAGTATGAAAAATTTTCTAAAAAATTTTTTTAGGATCAATCAACTGATGCAAGTATACTCGTAATGTGCAGTACACAAATTTCTATAATTTCTATAACATACATATATTAAAAAGTAAAATTTTTTATATCCCAATCTATATATGTGTTAATAACTTATTTAAGCTTTTTTTTTTCGAAATCATCATGCTATAAAAGATAACCTGCAGTTGATAACCTTTTTTCAAAATATAAATTAATATTTTCAAGCTACATATGTTATATACAACATATACAATATAAAAATAAATTATTAATAGTATATTTTTGTTATTTTTCGATTATTGCTCTTTTTTTAAATCGTAATATAGTGGAACTTATCTAATATATGAAGGTGGTAATATCGAAAAACCTGAACTTAAAGAACGCGAATGGAAATTGAATAGATTTCATTTTGATGATGTTATCAAAGGAATGTTAACATTATTTACGGTATCAACATTTGAAGGATGGCCAGAGTATGTAATTATTAAATCATTTAAATTTTTTGCATTTACGATATGATTGCATTATGAAATCGGAATCGCAATATAGTATTCTGTATATTATATTTATACAGTTTAGTTTATAAGTGCGCTGATTGTTAATTAATGTATTGCTGCTGCTGTATACTGCGTATTACTGCATTCTTAATTGAACAATTGTAAACATATAAAACTGAATTGTATCAAATTTGAAATTGCAATTTCGAAATCGCGGAATCATTGTGGCATTTTGTCATTTATTTTAATTCATATATTAACATTCATTCCATGTATAATTTCTATAAATTATAAATTTTAAGAATGAACCTCGTGACATTAGAGTCTTTATCAATTTACAATTTCAATTATAAGAATTTATGAGCTAAATTATGTAAGTTGTAAAGTAATATATGTAATAATCGATTCTGATGTCAATGATGGCTTATTTTTTGTGTTTGTGTGTTAATTTATAAAACTGATTTTCTTTCTTGTTGTTGTTTTTTTTTTTTAGTTTATTATACGTATCAATTGATTCAAATCGTGAAAATTATGGTCCAATACATAATTTTCGTCCAATTGTTGCTGCTTATTATATAATTTATATAATTATAATTGCATTCTTTATGGTTAATATATTTGTTGGTTTCGTTATTGTAACATTCCAAAATGAAGGTGAACAGGAATATAAAAATTGTGATTTAGATAAAAATCAAAGAAATTGTATTGAATTTGCATTAAAAGCAAAACCAATACGTCGTTATATACCAAAACATCGTATACAGTATAAAGTATGGTGGTTTGTAACATCACAGCCATTTGAATATACAATATTTATTTTAATTATGATAAATACAATAACATTAGCTATGAAATTTTATAAACAACCAGATTGGTACACCGATATGTTAGATTTATTAAATATGATATTTACAGCTGTATTTGCATTAGAATTTATATTTAAATTAGCAGCATTTCGTTTTAAGGTAAATATTATTGACTTAAAAATTACTATTATATATTACGATATGTATACAATTCATATAACCTGAATTAGTATAATATGTAATTATAGTACTACAGTAATTTTAAAGTTTCTGAATTGCTTAAAATTATCATACGAAATAATATAGAATTCATTAAATTTTTTTCTTCTTTTAGAATTATTTTGGTGATGCCTGGAATGTTTTTGATTTCATTATTGTTCTTGGATCATTTATAGATATTGTTATATCTGAAATAAAACTTAGTAAAGGTCAAAAACCAGACGCCGAAATGACTGGAGGAGGGGGCACTAAAAAAGATAAAGTAAAAATAAAAAATCAAAATAAATAAAATTACTATATAATAATTCTTGTTAATTATTTTTTTTAGGGTGGTAGTAATATGATTTCAATTAATTTTTTTCGACTATTTCGTGTTATGCGTCTTGTTAAATTATTAAGTAAAGGTGAGGGTATACGAACATTATTGTGGACATTCATTAAATCATTTCAAGCACTGCCATATGTAGCTTTATTGATTGTAATGTTATTTTTTATTTATGCTGTTATTGGTATGCAGGTAATTTTTATTTTTCTATATATATATACATATATGCACATAAAGGAATTTGCCTAAATAAAAAAATATCGAAAATTAATAACCAATTCGGGATTTATAATAGTTTTAAATATTTTCATTTTAAATAAATGAGAAAAAAAGCCATTCATCATATTATGAACTTGAAAATTTTAGCACGCTTTCTGACATTTTTCTTTCTTGTTTTATCAAATTCCTTAAATTTTTTGTATACATATGTTTTTTTTATTTTAAATATTTTAATTGGATTTGAATTATTTCCTCTTTTTTTTTAAGGTATTTGGTAAAATTGCATTGTCAGATGATAATGCAATCAATCGTAATAATAACTTTCAAACATTTCCACAAGCTGTATTAGTATTATTTCGTTCAGCAACTGGAGAAGCATGGCAAAATATTATGATGGATTGTGCACCAAATCCTGGTGAAGTTGTTTGTGCTGAAGACTCTGATGATCCATATAACAAAAATTGTGGTTCAACTATTGCCTATCCATATTTTATATCATTTTACGTGTTGTGTTCATTTTTAGTAAGTGTTGTCAAATTATCGAAAATTACAGAAATATAAAATATAAATTTTATTATATAAAATGTTTAACAATTTTGTTTAACACTATGTTTTTATTTTAGATTATTAATTTATTTGTTGCTGTTATTATGGATAATTTTGATTATTTAACAAGAGATTGGTCTATATTGGGACCACATCATTTAGATGAATTTATACGTTTATGGAGTGAATATGATCCAGATGCAAAAGGCCGTATAAAACATTTAGATGTTGTTACATTATTAAGAAAAATATCACCACCATTAGGTTTTGGTAAATTATGTCCACATCGTATGGCATGCAAACGTTTAGTATCGATGAATATGCCATTAAATAGCGATGGTACTGTATTATTTAATGCAACATTATTTGCTGTTGTACGCACATCATTAAAAATTAAGACAGAAGGTAATATTGATGATTGTAATGCCGAATTACGTACTGTTATTAAACAAATATGGAAAAGAACAAATCCAAAATTATTAGATCAAGTTGTACCGCCACCTGGTGTTGATGATGAAGTTACTGTTGGTAAATTTTATGCAACATTTTTAATACAAGATTATTTTAGACGTTTTAAAAAAAGAAAAGAACAAGAATCAAAAGATGGCCAAATTGATCAAAATAATACTCGTACATTACAAGCTGGTTTAAGAACGTTACATGAAGCCGGACCAGAATTGAAAAGAGCTATATCTGGTAATTTAGATGAATTATTAGAAGAGCCGGAACCAATGCACAGAGTATATATTTGGAATATATTAAAAAAGAATAAAAGAAAAATAATAAAATTCTTTATTTATATTTTTCGAAAAATCAGCGAAATCATACATTATTTGGTAGTGTTTGGTCTTCAATGAGACGACATGGTGCAGTACCATTTACACGTAATCGAACGCAAAAATCACCTCAAAATGGTGGTATGAATTCAAAAAGAAATAATCCAAATATAGATGGTTCAATATCAAATCGTAAATATTTTGATTTCATTATTACTTTTAATTTTTTTTTTACATTTAGTTAAACATCTTAAATAATGAACATTTTTCTTGCTTAACTTTAAGTTTTCATTGTTTAATATTGTAGCTAAATTATTTTGAAATCCGAATCCCAGTAAAACTATACTTAAACTACACAAGTCAGTTTATTAAATCGTAAAAATCGACTGAGTTGTATAATGATAGATTAATAATTTAAGTCCGTAATCGAAAATGCTATTTGAGGCTAATTTCAAAATGTAGTCAACTACTGAATAAATTAATTTAATAATTGAGCAAATTACTACAAATTACTACTAATTTAATAACTGAACAAATTTTAATTTATGTTGACTGATTTTACAAATGCATTTTCGATTACAATTGTTAATTCTGATGTTCTTCAATTCTGATAGGGTTCCTATAATTAAATTACTAAAATTTTGTATCTTTTTAGTTTATTTAAATGTTTCTGATGGCATAAATCATATTACAAAGTCAATTATGCAAGTACGCAATGGTGGAACTGGTGGACTTGGTAATATTGGTGGTGGTGGTTGCGGTATTGGTAGTAATATTAGTGGTAATGGTCCATTAGGTTACGACACAGAAAATCATAACAATGAATTAAAAACATTCAATGAAAGTATACCCATGAGACCATTAATGTTTGCCAATAATAATAATACCGATAATAGTGATCATAAGAAACCCTATGAGTAAGTAAAATTATATATATATATATATATATTTATACATATGTCTACATATGTACACATATATATCATTATAGCTTATATGTAATAACATATGGGTATTTCGTTATAATTTATTTTTAATAATTAATATACAAGGATATTTTTAAAAAATATTTTTTATGTGAAAATTGCACTATTTTATATATATTGACATAAATCTTTTTATATCAGGATTAAATATATGTGTTTAACTAATATAGCTTTTTTCGTAGTGAAAAATATAAAGAAAATTTATTTATTCAAAAGAGATATGGGTACCCCGATATCCGAAATTCAGTAATACTTTATAGAAAAGGTTACAATATTGTATTATCATACTGTACAATTTCGCAATAATAGATATTTGCTCAATTGATGCAATTGAACACCATATTATTGCAATTTTGAATAAAAACACTCTGTGCTACTACGGAATACGGCAATTGGTACATATAAGCTGATTTAAATTGTTGTATACCAATTATTATTGCGATTTGGATGTCAGAGTATATGTATCTTAAGATTTATTCAAAATCAATCTGATATAAATTAACAATTTAAAATATGTATCGTATTGCAAACAAGACTCGTTTCTGAATTTTTCATTCCTGAATTACATTAACTGAAAAGTCCGTAGTATGATGAGTTGCGCATGATTTACATTTTAGAATATTCTTTGATTTGAAATTGCAATAATACGAAATTAATGTACAAAATTAAGTTTAATTAAAAAGCAATTTCGAAAGTGTTGATGTGGAAATGCGAAAAATGTGGGAAATCGCATTTTGGTTTTTCAAAATATATGAAATTACAGAAGTTTTTTCAAAAAATGTGAAAATGAAACAACGATAATAATTGCACTATGCAATATTGCTAATAAATTGACCCATAAAATATTGCTTATATTTTGTGAGTACCAAATGACTTCAAAATCACAATGATATTTTATTAGTACACAAAATTCAGGTACCATAAATGATAATTACTGAATTACGTAATAATTGGAGAGTTTTATTATTACAATTTTGAAGTCAGAAGGTCGTTAATCTAAAAAAATTTTAACTTTTTTGTAATTTTATTTTATTAATGAATTTGAAATTGCGTATTGCTACTTTGTTGCTATGTGGTGGTGTTAATTTTTGTAGACGCCCAGATTAGAGTTTACTTGTGTGCTGCAAGTATTTACTTTTTTTAATAGAAATTCGTTTTTATAATTATGCATTTTTATAAACCTATGACTTCCAAATTGCAGCAGTATGAGGTATTAATTCACAATTCAAAGCTAAGTAGGTTTTATTGAATTATGTATAGCAATACATAGTATTACCGCAATTTTGAAGTCACAGTTCCTTATATATTTAGATTACTAGAGGGTTTTTTATGTATTTTTCTTATAATTTGATAAAAAATATTCTAGAGTTTTTGTGTCTCCCTGCACAAAAAAAAATTTGAGCATAGGTAAAGAACAAGTTTTTCAATAATCTTTGTTTTTTTTTAAATTGTAATAAGCGGTTTAAAATTTTAAAACAATTTTCATTTCTCAAAATACAAGTAAATTTTTATTACAGCAAAACAGCTGCTGGTATATTACTACATCCGTATTACAACGGTAAGATTAAAAAATAATTGTAATAAAAAAACTAAAATGAACATCTTGTTTTTGGAGTTGTCATTATTTTTTTTAATTAATTTTTTTGCTCAACATCATTGAAATTTAACAACTTAGATTTTTATACCAGAAAACAAAATGTGTAATACGCATAATTAATATAATCAATAAGAAAAATGATTAATTTTACTGCTTTGTAATTAAAAAAATTTTTTGTTTTTTGCATTTTAACTAATGAAATTCATTAAATACATTAAATAGGAAACAAGTAACGATAAAATTTTAGTATAAAAAGCAAATGAAATAATTGCAATATCCTAATATCTAAATTGCAGTAATACTATATAGCGTTAATTGATAATTATTTAGTAATTATAGTGCTTTTAAGTTAAATTTTTGTAGTAATTACAGTATTACTGGAAATTAGGTGTTAGGGACAATCATACAGATTTTGTGATACCCAAAATCAACCAAAAATTTTTGCAAATATTTTGATTTCGGGATTGCAATGATACTGACGTAGTTTTACCACAATTCAGTTATGAAACCTTGTATGATAAATTTTTGTATTTATACCGGTATTATTGCAATTATGAAGTTAAAGATTTGGAATTAGATAATCGTTTAATATTATGTAGATTTTGGATGTCACGGATTAGTCCTAAATGATTTTTATATCTTACATTTTGAATTAAAAAAGATTAATAAATTAATGTAAAAATAAAAAATATAATCTAGTTCATTCTTTGCATACTAATTATAGTTTCTGAATTACAACGTTTTTATGTATGTGTACGGCATTTCTGAAAATTACAAAACAACTATAATACCCACCAAGTGTACATACACAATTCAGCAATTTTCATTTATAAGCTGAATTCTATAATGTATAAACGGTGTAATTGCAATTTCGAAATAATAATTTCAAATTACAACACAATGACTTTTTATTACGTAACCAAATTTAATTTATAACGCATGTTGACCTGATTTCAAAACTGTAGTAAAAACGTATATTATTTACTGCAATCTTGAACTCTATAATAATGATGTCACTCTTTTCTGAAATGCTTTAAAAAAGCTGTCTAATGATTTCTGTCGTTTCCGTTCCAAACTGTGTTTCATTTTATGCAATCTTTTCATTTTTATTATTACGCTGCCTTAATTTCAAATAACACCGCAAAATCTTTAGTAATTTATTTTAAAATTGCAGTAATTACGTTATTAATACACAATTCAGACAATTTTCAACACTCATGATCTAAATTGGGTATTAATATAGTATAACTGTATTTTTGTTTTTAATCACAAAATCGTTTTATTCAATTGGAGCTCAAGAATTTACTTAGCTCAAGAAATTTACTTAGCTTAAATTTACTGGAGCTCAAGAATTTACAGAAATAATTAATGAACTATAGTTATGGTCCCTATTATGGGGTTTATTTTTTTAAATTTTGATTTTTTCTTTTCCCTGAAAGGAGATGCCCAAATTAAAGAAGATAAGGTAGTATAAGGTGCGATACCAATCGATGTGCAGTGAAATACAAAGCTATTTGAGTAGATCAAAAATGGTACCATCTGGACAATATAACTCTTCAAGAAAATAAGGATATAATAACATGTAAAAAAGAATTTCCTTGTTTGTCAATTGAATTTCATAGTTAAACTCATGGGTTCCACTTCAATGTAAAATTCCATCTTTGATGTTCTTATGAATCTGGTGATATACAAATTTTCTTAAAAAAATAAATGCTAACACTTTATATCCAACTTTGTTATACTCTTTATGTTATACAGTTTATTATGATTATTTTTAAACTTATAACGCTGATACAGATATAATAAGATAATAGATTAATATATTAATGGTTGGTTATTGATATTTCTTAGAAATATTCTGTCGTCTGGCGGTGGTTTGTTAACTGTGTACTATAACTCGCCAATTTTTCTACAAAAAAAAATGGGTTTTTTTCTTGCTCATATCTAGTTACTCTGATTTCTAGTATCTTTCTTAAGTGCATATTATTTAAGTTTCTCTGAATAATATATAATATTACTTCTAAATTATAATATTACTTTAAAATTGCAGTGATATTATATTAACACACAGCTCCAACTTATGAATGGTAATTGCAGAATTGTGTGTTAATCTCGTATATTACTGCAATTTTTAGGTCATACGTTTTATAGGACGAAGAAGAATAATTATAAATTTTATTTACTTCTTTTTTTGTTTTTGCGGGGTTTTCCTACTTTTTTTTTGTTTTTTTTTTCTGTTTTCACTTTCAAAATTGCTTGTCAGATCATCAAATTTAAATAAAGAACTATTATCATTAACAAAAAAATCAGCAATTGAAAAACGAAAAGAAGCTTTTAAGCGAAGTCATCATCAACAACTTCGTCTTCAATCATCAACAATATCATCGAAATTTAATGAAAATAATTATGATAATTGTCAATTAATATCAAAAACACCAACAACAAATACAATATCTTTAACATCAAATTTAAATCGGAATTTAAATTTAATTAATGATTATAGTAAAAATGATGACAGCAATTTACAAACAAATATTTTAGCAAATGTTATAAATAGCAGTTGTGGTATGGCAAGAAACTTAGTTGGCTGCTTACATTTGAATTTAGTACAACATAGTAATGAAAGTGATATTGAACTAATACCATCATCATCTACAATAATAACGGCAATAACTACATCATTCACAACACCAGCTACACAGACAATAAAAACATCAACTACAACAAAGGAAACAATTTTAAAGGAGGACAATCAATACGTGAATTCATCATCAGGAATAATGTCATCATCAATATCACCACTACAATTAACAACAACAACAGATTCTGTAATATTAAAAAATTCAAAAATGGTACCACAATTGGAAAACACAATCACAACAAAAACGCGAAAATTCCAAAATGATCAATCATCATTATCATCGTTATCGTCACAATTTCATCAACGGCATCATAATAAATTTAATATACTTCAATCAATAGCATCATCATCATCATCATCGTCTAACAATTATAATAGTAATAACAATAATAATAATAGTAATAGTAATAATAATAATAACAATAACGATAATGTTACACCAACAATATCTAATTTAACATCACAAGTTATTGCCAATTTAAATCGTTCAATATTACCAACAAATTTATTAAATCAACATATCGATAGTATTGATGATTCTGATGGTACTGGTTCTGTTATAACAACATTAACACAATCAACATTACTAGATTATCCTATAACATATTATGGTAGCTTAAATCGTGATCATAAAACATCATCTATTTTTAATACAAATAATATTAAAAATTATTTTGTTAATACAACAAAAACAACAAATTCTAATTTATCATATGATAATATTGAATTAGATAACGAAGACTTCACTAAAATTGATTTTAATTTAAAAAAATTAAAAAATCAGCATTATTCAAAATCACAATTACAATTGCCTAAAACAAAATCATTAACAAAAATTATAACAACAAAAAAAAAATATGATTGTAACATTGATAATATAATTAATAATGATGATAATAATGATGGTATTACTAATGTTAATATTGGAGAAAATCACGACGATGATAATGATAAAAAATATTTTATAACATCAGCATTAATACATTCAAATCCAACAAATAGTTTAATAAATAAAATAATAATTTCACCTTCACCTTCAACGACTACTGTAACTACAACAACAACAGAATCAACAATGGCAACTACATTTAGGACAACAACTAGTTTTGATGGTGGTAAAATAAATTCAATAATACCAATGATTGATTCATCATCGAGTAGTGGTAATAATGATTATGGTTTTAATTCATTATCAATTAAAAATAATATGTATAAAGATGATGATAGTAATTATTATTATCATTATGATTATTATCATAATTATCCAAAAAATTATAATAATAAATTTATATCGAAAAAATGTCTAAGTGGTACAAAATCTATTGAACCATTTTCATTATCATTATCATCGTTATCATCATCATCATCATCATTAGTTTTTCCGTTAACATCTTCTTTGCCAATTGAAAAAATTTCATCTAATACAACAATAACAACAACAACAACTACAACATCACTAACAAATAATTTAAATATTGCATCAAACATACAAGCAGCTGAAGTTAAAAATCAAAGAATTACGCCACCATTATCAACAATATTTATTCATGAGGATGATAATGATGAAGATAGGAATGATATTACATGCGATTGTGATTTAAATGAATTATCAAAAATAAAAAAGTTATTAGGTAAAACATCACAAACATCAAAAAAATTATATTGTAGTAAAAATATAACAACAAAATCATCAAATACAAATAATTTACATAGAATTTCAAGTGGTTTACGTTTAGCTCAATTGCAAGCAATGGCTGTTGTTGGAATTTTAAGTGATAATATTGAAACAAAATCCTATGGAATTTCAACAAAAATATGTAATAATAATAATAATGAAAATATAAAAGAAATTATAAAAAATCCAAAATATATTACAACTTTAATACCGAATGTTATAAAAAATATTAGTAGTACACCAGTAACATCAACAACCGATACAAGTACTACTATTACAAATACTACTGTTACTACTACTGATAGTACTACTTGTACTATATTTAGTACTAATATAACAAATGCTAATTTAACTGAAACTACATCAACAACAAATGTTAATGACATAAAAGTATTAAATGATTCAATAAAATTATTAAATACTTCAAATAATGATACAATTAGTTTAGCTGATAATAAAACAATAAATTTAGGAAAAAAGAAAAATTATAATAAAAAAAATGCAATATTTTGTAAAGAAAATTATAATAATAGTGATAATGATGCGGAAAATGGTGGTGATGATGAAAAAAAATATTCGTCATTAAAAAAAAATTTAAAATTAACATCAACTAGCTGCAATAATGTTCAGTCAATTTCAAGTGATACATTGAATAATAGTACTTCTATTTCTAGTACTGCTAATACTAGTGATAAACTGGAGCAACAATTACGAGGTCTGATATATTTGTTTTTTTTTTGCCTTTAAAACTTTAAAGAGTAGCCCTGATTTTTCAGAATTGTAACATACTATGTTTACATTATATGTATACATATATATATATATATATATATATAAGTATTCGGTTTGTTATTCTGACACTCAAAAAATTGTATCAGTATTAAATTAAGATATATATATATACAATTCAACTTTTGAACTGTAATTGCTGAATTGCATATTTAATACCATATTATAGCAATTTTGCAGTCAGAATAGAAAAGGATAACTGAGTTCTGATAGTAAAAGACAAAAAATAAATAAAAGTGTTGCTACAATTTTGATATGTTACAGGTTACTTTCATATACTCAAATTGTGTAAGAATTCTGTATTACTAGACAATTTGGCTTATAAATGTTGAATTGCTGAATTGTTTAGTAATGCAACATTATTTGCAATTTTGATGTCAGAGTTAATTTGTCGTTTTTATTAGTATTATATATATATATATATATATATTTCATGTTCCTTTAATGTGATTTTACAATCAGCGATATTATATGAATATATATATATATATATATATATATATATATATATATATATATATATATATATATACATATATACATATATATAAAAATAAATATAGACTACATTGCTATGGATATGTTATAGATGTGTGTGTAAGCAAAAATATTTTGTATTTTATTTATTTCTATTCGTGTTTCTTTTAAGCATTTGGGACACATTGTCGAAAATGCTAATTTAATATTTCTGCATTAAAAATTTTTCTACTCAAAATTCAGCTCTTGTGTATATAATATCTTTAACTATTATACTGTATTGCTAAATAGTGTCCAAATATATGGTATAGCTGCAATTTCGATTATGATTATCTACGACTCCGTCTTATGACTAAAGACCTCCCTTTTTGATTGAAATTTCAAATAAAAATTAGACTAGATTTGCCATTGCATTAGTGCAATATGGAGGTCGCAGGATGATTAGGGTCCCTTACACTGTTTGGCAACAGTATACATTGGGAGTTGAACAGTTTTTTTTCTTATTTCTCTTATATAATTTACTTTATGTTACGATTTTGATTTTGTTTATGGCACGCACCAAAGCATACGCATAGATATACACAGTTGATCTACCTATAATCATAAGAAAAGTTAGTACCTAAATAATATTTGTTTTGAATGTCAAAAAAAGTCTGCTATAATTAAGTGATTATTAAAAATATTAAATGTTGTCTTTATAAATATTAAAATGAATGTATTTTAATAAAAGTATTGATGGTGCATGTGTTTAATTAAAAATTTTCGTAATGTGTACACGATTTAAATTTTTAAAAAAAGTGATATTCGCGAAATTAAAGAGACGATTCTAAAATTCTTCAGAATTACATACATACTATAAATACTACACAATATATCAATAATAAACTTATAACCTCGTTATTGTGTGTTTTAGAGAAGTATGACTGCAATTTTCAGCCTAACGCTGATAGCCTAGAATTAATTGCTGAAATGTGTTCCAGTGTTTATTAACCGAATCATAATTATTTTATATAAGTACTTTAAGTGCAAATTTAGCAGTTAGCATTTAAATTTAAAATGAATGAATTATGTATATTAATGAAGGAGGTTACCATAATCTGGGAGTTAGAGAGCCGGTAACTGAAATCTGCTAAGTTGGTTTTAAATGAGTATTAAATCTGTATACATTTTGAATATCAAAACTATTATATAACTTAACAAATTATCTGATATCATTATAGTAAATGTATGTATATAACATACCATATACTTATATATATGTGTATTTATGTAATTATTTCTCTAAAATTGCAAATATGTTCAATATTTCCTGACTTTAAAATTACAGTAATACGATTTTAATTTATACAATTCAGTATATAGGGGTGTTATTACTGAATTGTGTAGTGGTATAATATTACTGCCATTTTAAAATCACGGTGATTTGATATTATAAGCTTTTGTAAGTTCGTATGGTAAATTTTTATGGTATATATTCATTTGTGTAAGATCATAAGAAAAAAAAACCATTTCATTGTTCCATTTTTCGTTTTTTCATTCATTTATTTGTTTTCTTGTTATTATATAGACAAAATTTAATATTTATTTTATTCATAAAAGAATTTTCAGAATTCTAAGAAAACTACACTGTTATTGAAATTTCGGTATTTGATTGTCCCGCATTCAAATTTGGGATTTTGAATGGGACAATTCGAGGCACTGATTAAATTGAGTCCATTTTGCATTTAATACCCGTTAACTATTCAAGTATGAAGATGAAACAAGAAAAATTAGGTCGTATTACATTTTGAATGTTACCTACATATGTATATAGATGTTAGTGAGTGATTAAATACTCTGACTTCAAAATTGTAATACGCGATATTTATAAATAATTTACCTTGTGACTTTTAATAGCTGAATAGTTTCTCAATACAGTTTTAATATAGTGAAGTTCCCGGATAATTTTAATTAAAAATTTAAATGACTTTTTCCAATTCTATGTAACAACTTAAAAAATAAAATTAAATTTTACATATAAAAAATTGAGCTTAGTTACAATCAACTTCATCTGTCAACTTCAAAACCAACCAAATTTAGAAAATATAAAATTGCCAACCAAATTTAGAAAATATAAAATAAAAAAAATTTTCTAGAAAATGCTAAAGATGGCGGTGTTATTCTAAACTATACGTTAAACTGAAAAGACTTCTAGCTCATATAACTTCAAAATTGCAGTAATACATTATTTAATATATGAGGTGCTCAGAAGCAGAGTGGCGTAAGCCACAATGTGGGTTATGCCACTTTGCTTTTGAAAAATCAGAAAATTTTTACAAAATCGGAAAATTTTTTACAAAATCAGAAAATTTTTTCAAAAGCAAAAGTACTTTTGTGAAAAATAAATAGGAAAAAAGCTATTTCGAAACGGGAAACTAATATTACTGATTTTAGAAGGTTACTGCCATTTTAAAGTTACATAGTCTGTATACCTTATTCTTAAAATATATTTTTATATTCAGATTAAAAAGGGGTTTCAATCTTAAATTGTTAAGGATGTACTCGTATTATAATTCAGAGATAAACAAATTAATAACCTTTTTGATATGAAATACCATTGAACCTGTTTTTTTTGTTAATTTTTTAAGTTGCTTTTTTACTTACGTATAATATTATAAGTTTTTTTTTGTTATATAAATAAAATAATTTTATTTTTATGCAATGCATGTGTGTGTCCATCTCTCATCGCATTGAATTTTGAATTTTGTCATTTGAATATTGTCAATTTTTAATGTTATATAAATAATTATGGTCAAGTTAGTTTCCTTGCAACTCAAAAACTCGCTACAAGATTTGAATATTCTGATTTTAAGTCGAACTTGTTTTTTTATCTTTTTAATGTTATAATATTATATTTTTAATGAAATATAGATATCCTCATTTTGTACAATTCAGCTTATACATTTGCATGTAATATTATTTTGAATAGTATATTCTATATTAAATTAAGTTCGTACTGACATTTCTTGAATTTTAAAGAATATATTTATATAATGTAGATGTCATATATTAATCTTTAACTTTTTAATTAATATACTTTTTTACCTTAAATATTTAATTGTTTTATTTTGAATGCTTAATAATTTCTTGCCCGCTATTGTATTTCAAATTATTTAGAAAATGCATATTAAAAAATGTTACTGTACATGTATAAAAATATGTAAATATATATACACATTTATAATATATATATATACATAAAGTCCTGACTTTATAATTGAAGTAATACAGCATAATTCAGCTTATGACTTGTACTTAGTTTGATTTTGTAACAATACAATTTTATTGCATTTTTTTTTTAAGTCTCGGATATTATGCTTATGTATATATTCAAAATGGTTTTTGAAACGCTATTTAATTAATTTTTGAATATATTTTGTTTCTTATTTACGATTACATATATAAAATGTACATATATATAATATGCTGATATAAAATTAAAAAAAAATTATTTCCCACATTATATGGATAGTGGGAAATGAAGTGAATGGTAAAATTGATGGTCGTTATGCTTCTTCAACACCTGGAAGCCCGCAGGAACGTCGACCGAATTCCATAGAAGTAATTGGCTCAGCAGAAAGTTTAGTTGGAAGGGTATATACATATAGTTTTTTTTGCTTTGATATTTTTGAATTAAAGTTAGTGCATACTAATGTTTTAGGTATTAGCTGAAGAAGGTTTGGGAAAATTTTGTGATTCTGAATTTGTCGCATATACATCAAAAGAATTACGAGAAGCATTAGATATGACAAAAGAAGAAATGGATTTAGCTGCACATCAATTAATGCAAGAAAATTTTTCACCCACTGTTTCACCAATATTATTACAACGTCAACCTAATGGTTCCGTTGGTTTCAGTGGAAGTCATAGTATTACTGGTGGTGGTGGTGGTCGGAGAAATTCATCAATGGTATTATCAAGAAATGATTCAACATCACCAAATTCTTTAACAATAAGTGGTGGTGTTGGTATTGGTACAGCAACAAATCTATCATCATCTTCATCATCATCACCTCAAAATTCATCAAATATAAGACAACAACAACAACAGCAACCCCAACAACAACAGCCACAACAGCAATCACAGCAGCAACCGACACCACCGTCTCGTTCACTAAATAAAACGAAAAAAAAAGAACGTAATTTATAGCATCTGATAAAATGAAAAAAAAATTTTTGACTCACTTTTCTCGTATTTTGAAAGAAAACAAAAAACAAAAAAAAAAGGAAAAAGATTTTAATTAACATTATTATGGATAATTATATATGAAGCTATACAATGTACACCTTATATACATATATTTCTATTATATAACAAACTTATATTGTGTATTTGTATTATATTATGTATGTATTTAATATTATTGACAAAAGTTAGAAAAAAAGAACTATATATATGTAGAATATAAATTATTTATAAATTATAATTTTATATTATTATGGATAGTGTATGAAAAACTGAAAAAAAAAGAAAGTTAAAAAAAAAAATTCCCATAAATTGTCAAACAGAAAAAACAAATTGTCAAACTATTTATTAAGTGAAAAAAAAAACAAAACAATTAAGTATAGTTTTTATTACATAAAATAATTATTAATATAATTAAAAAGTAAGAATATTTAATTTTAATTGAAGATTATGTCTTTTTTACTTATATGTATACAAAAACACAAGTCCATACAGGTTCATATATGTATATATATATATAATTGCATATATATATATATATATAATTACATATATATATATATATATATGCAATAACCCCAACTAATTGCATTACAGTTTATTTCAAGTTGTTTCCCCTTTAAAATTGCACAAAAAAATAATTTAAATATAATTAATTTCCTGATTTCAAAATTACACAGAAATAATCTTCAATTTCAAAATTACAGTAAAATTAAACATGTAATTGTGTATTAATACAATTCAGTTTGTGACTTGTTGTATTTAGTAATTATGAGTTGACTGCAATCTTGAAGTCATTGAATACTTCTTAATAATATTGTTGAATTTGCTGAATTGTTATGTAATCTATATATATTATACCCTAATATTTAAATCACAGTACTATAGTTTAATTATGCTATACGATTCAGTAATAAACATGTACTTAAGAAGATAAAATTTGTATTATAGATAATATGTATTTCATGACATCAAAATATAGCAATAATATTGTATTGCAGCCACATAAGCTGCAGTAATTCTATAATTCATAAACTGAATTGTGAATTAAATATACTTGTAATATTACTGTGATTAAAAGAGTATATTACCAATAATTTGAATATCAGGTTTATAATTTTATTTTATATATAAAAATTTTTGTAATCAAAACGATTTTCTATATTTATGTACACCCATATTTATATCATACATATTTTATATTTTAAGAGTAATATAGATATGAAAATATTTTTCCTGGTAAAATCAATATACTTATATTAAAAATTCTTGATCATCAAAAATAAACTACATACATATATCGAATGTGCATTCCTGAATAATTCAGCAATATTTACTATATACATATATAAATAAATTGATGAATTGACACGAGATTACGCAAAAAACAAGAGAAATAATTAAATTTAATTTTTTTATGTATTTTTCTTGATTCGGTTTTTCTATAATAATTTTAATAGTTAATTTATGAAATTAATTCGAAAACGTTTGAACTTTGAATTTGAATATTTTTTATTTTTAAATTTCATTTATTTATTTATTTTTTAATAAATATACATACAATTATGTAATATATGAGTGTGTACATTTTTGTAAAAGTAATTTAATGTAGTTAAGTTTTAATTTTCCTGAGATCTTAAACTTGCAGTAATTTTTGTATTGTTGTTGAATTAAGTTAGTAACAAAGTATGTATGTATATTTATTGTATTTGTATTCCAGGATATTTAATTACTTCCAAATTACAGTATTTTGCTGTATTTACTACAATTTTTTACTGTAAATATTACAATTCAACAATTACAACTCATATAAGTTTGATATCTATACATTACTGCAAATTACTTATTCAGGGTCTTTTAAATAATTTTTTTTGTCAAGTGTGATTTATTGAAAATTCAAACGCGCCTCCAACTCTTCACACTAATTTGGAGTGTGTTCGATGCAACCAATTTGTGTGCGCGGATATTGCCCGGTTAGTTGCATATTTGTAAAAATTAAAAAAAAAATAACAACAAGCTATGCATTTTCTTTTAGTTTGACGCAATTAATCGGGGACAATCTTTCATATATATATACACATAATTATAATATGTATATAAATATAACAAGTTCTTTTATATTGTTCTTTTGTTTTTTAATTTTCTTTTTTTAATTTTTTGAATATTATTTGCGTTATAGGTTTTGATAAATTTTTGACAACACTATTGTAATATTTTGAATAATTTTATTAAAAAAATTTTAATGAAAAAGAAAAAAATTATTGTGAAAACTGAGAGTTTTACAAAATTAATAATCAAATTAAAGAAAAAAAATTTTGTATTTTAATTATCTTACGTTACAAAAGAAAAGAATCAAAAAAAAAAACAAAAATTTAAAAAATAAAACAAAAATAAAAAGAAATTTTTATATTTTCAGAACTATATTTTTGGTAAAAGAAGTATAAAAAGAATAAAAGAAAGAAAAAAATTGAAATTCTCCAATAACTTGTTGCAATCAAGAAGTCTTCCGTTATAAGAGATAGATTTTTTCCTTCCAAACACATATACGCTTATTATGATCGGCGAAGCGAATGGCTAGAACTAGCCGAATCGAATAACATTTTAAATTATGATTGGTGAATGCTTTTATTCGCCAGATCCAAAATGCTGCTACCGCAAGACATCGGAAAACCGAAAATAATGAGGTAAGCCCCACCAAATAGTACACATATTATGTACATTGTTTTGTTTTCCTATTTAGCAATGTCGGGGTTGCTGTCCATTAATTTATTTATATGCTCGAATTGTTTTTGGTTCGTTTCTTTCACATTTAAATTAATATTAAACAATCAATATTTTTTAAAACAATTTGTAGAATTTAATGAACTTACTTTACCGATAGTTTATATTTTTCCATTATATAACTATAAATGCTATAATATCCAATAAAAAAAAACATATGTTTTATTTTGATATTTGGTTTCATTTGCCAAGCTTGTAAACATTTAGGTTTACATTTCAAGTAACATTTAGGCGAATTCGCTAATCATAATACCAAAATTTATATTCGCCAAAAATTTCATTCGCTTTGCTGATCATAATGAGGGCCATAAATTATAATTTTTTCTGTTTTTAAATGAAGACCTGAAATTTTTACTCGGATCTGAAAGAGAAAATAGAAAAAATTTAAGTGGAAATACTAACAAGCAAACACAAGGGGATATAAGGACTACAAAAAAACAAATTATTAATTAAAATTTTTTAATCAATAAAATTAATTTTTTAATTAATTTTATTAAAGCGCAATTAAAATTTTTTAACAATAAAGAGAAAAACTAATGCAGACCACAAAATATTTGCGCCCTTCTATTTCAAAGGACCAGCCACGTTAACCGAGGGAATACCTTAATTTTTAGAGATATTCTGAAGTACTTCAGATATTCTTTTACTTTTTCACATTTATTTGAAAATCCCTTACATTTTTATCATAACTTTTTACAACTTTCTTGTTTATTTAAGTTGACACTCTTGAAAATACTGTACTTAGGGTACTTTTGTAAATTTAAATTTATTTTTATGCTATCAATCTTTAATGGAATTTTTATGCCTTTTTTGTTGTTATGTTTGAGATGAAATGAAAATTTTTCTTTTTTTTTCTATTTATTTTTGTGTAATTTTTAAGTGCTTGTACTTTCACTCTGTCCGTCCATTAATCCGTGAACATGTTTACAAAACTTCTACACTTTTGAAGATAAGAAGCTGAAATTTTAAATCCACATAGATCTTTGCTAGAATTTTATTTCCGTAGAAGAAAATTTTCACGTATGTGCTTTTTCAAATTCCTATAAAAGCAGAAAGTTAATGGCAAATTTCATGACATTAAAAATATAATTATTTTTCTTAACTCACGCAATTACCTTTAACATCGAGCATTATGTTAACGCCTCTTTGAATTTATTTTTGCTTTATTTTAAATAATAAATAAATCGTGCATCCTGAATGTATGCAATCCTTAGAATAGTTTCGTATATGAATGAAAGCAATTTTAATAGTGTAGTAGGTATATGAACATAGAAACGGCAAAGGCAGATATAATATGCCTTTGTGAAACTAAACTACAAAATAGACATATCTTCGTTTGGATGGTTGCAACATGATACGTCGAAATGGCGGTAAACAAGGGGTACAGCAATTTGTTTAAAAAATAATATACATTATAATATAATTGATAATAAACTTTTTAGCACATTTCAATGTATTGATCTGTGTGCTGTAAAAATTAACCTGAAGGATTCCAAAAAGACGTTTCTTATTGCAATTTATGATTCCCAAACAAAACAAAATAGATTTCTTGAAGAGTTTCAAAAAATTTTTGATATCCTTTATTTGGATGATACTGTTTGTTATTATGTTATCATTAGTGATTTCAATGCTAAATATACTTCTTATCGCATCGGTGACAATAATAGTCTAAGCATTTCGTTGTACAAATGGTTGAACAAAAATAAAATTAAATACAGATGCAACTTATTAACTTTAGACCTACCGATCTACTCTAGGTGCCACCCTTACATAGATATCGCTATTTTAGACGTTAGAAAAGAACATGAGCATGAAGAACTCAATACCGTATCATATGACAGTGACCACAATGCTGTACATGTTGGACGGTCGGTAGTAAATGAAATTATTGCCGATAGTCAATTATTGGCTGGAAAAAACATTTGTTCCATAAAACTAACTAGAAAAAATTTAAAAGAAAATTAGATTACAAATTTTGACACACATTATACGTTAATACTTTGAATGAACAAATAACAAGTAACACTAACATTCCTATAGATGAAATAGACATACACATATAAAACATAAATAAAATAATTGAACTAACAAGGAGTGATACAACACCAATAAAAACAAATCACAATAGCAAATATACTCCTTCGAAACTTAAAGACTTATTAAGGCACAGGAGTCAAATTCTTGGCGACATACATTAAAGTCATAAGAGAAACTTAACATTCACACCACAGCAATTAACTTTACTAAAAAGCCTACTAAATAATACAAATAACAAAAAACAAGAAACAAATATACAAGAAAGTAAGTACTAGTATAAAAGAATAAAAAATATAACACCAAAGCGTAATAGTGGCATGTTTCCTGAATTAAATAAAATATTTCGAAAATTATACGAAAACAATTTGACATCTTCAACAACAATTATTCTGTTTTGCTCAAGTCTATTCTAGCACTTGTTCTGTCTCGACAGTTCTGACAGAACAAATGCAAACCAATATATAGTAACCAATAAGGATATTTGCAGGGTTTTT